ATATCTCATTTTCGTTAAACTCTGAATTTTTGAAAATTGCCGATATAGAAATAATGCAAGAAAATGTATGCTTTGTAGCACCCTAATTTCATTTTATTTAATGCTGATATGCTATATGCTTTTAGATTTACTTTTTGTTTAATAGGCAAATAGGCTACCAATATACTGTAAATACCATACTTTATATATTACTCGTACATATAATCAGTCACCTCACTTTTCCAATTAGTGTCACGTTTGATATAAAATTTGAGGTACTGACGGATTTGACGTTTTGTAGAACGTTTCAATTTGTGTGCCACTGTGTTGTAGAGACGCTAATATACAGAATTCGTCGCCACTCTCCTCAAAGAAGTTGTTTTTCAGCAATTTTGTTTGACTCTCGATGGATATGTGTCGACCAAGTTTACCCTTGGTGATGTCAGCGTTGATTCCAATGTAAATTTATCTATTCTGGTTATCAAGTGTTCATTCGCTTTATCAACCTATAATGTAGTTTTCTGTGATAGACTCATAAACTGTTAAAATTATTACAAATATATTTCAGTTGATTGACAGATTGAAATTTATTTCAGGTGGTGAAACTACATATACTCTGATATTTACAGAGCAATATTATATTTTCTTTATACTTCTATATCTGAACAGTCGCAAAATCATGTTTCAGATTATGTATAATTACAAAAATATTAACGAAAAAAAATATCCTGTTTACCTCTGCTTTGTAAATGAAATTTGACTCTGAAAATGTCTGTAATTTTATAACACAATAGGGAATTAAAATTATATTAAAAGCATTCTGGAGAAATAAAGTAATTTACTAGTGAATACACTCGTGGAAAAAACAACGAACTCACTCCTTTTGAGCGATGCAATATTTAACTCAGTCGTGGCCTCAGGGATTAATTATCACGTTCGTGAATCTCAATATACTATATTTTTCAATGGGGTAAGCGAGAACGAGTAAATTAATTGAAATAGTTTACTTTATTTAACGAGACAAAGTTTTTGTGAAATATCTAAATAAGGTATGAATGCAGAAATAAAACAAATCAAGTTCATGTTTTAATGAAAGTTGTATAATCAAAAAAATATTCAGCTATTAACCTGGAATATAAAATTATTAAAATTTACTATAATGATTTTTTTCTGTCGTAGATACCACCTGGAATTATTATGAATATGGTAAGTAATAATTTGTCAACCATATGAATGTGATATTTAGCAACAGACGTTGCACGTTAAGATAGGCGAGCGAAACCAGTTATGAAGACCAGATGAATGCGGATAGTCATTTTGTAATGATCAGAGGATCCAAAAGCACATACTGTCTGGAATAGTTTGTTACGGTTACGTAGTAATATTATTTGAACCTTCAAAAGGTTTGCACGCGCTGGGATGCGAACTCAAGTACTTAGATTTATCAAGCGATTAATGTAACCACGTGTACACCAACCGATTGAGACGGCACAGCAGCGTTCCCGACTTTTTAAAAAGAAAGTTGAACACAGTTTTTTTAATAAAAATCAGACGAGTGTAATAAAAGTATTAAGAAAAAGTAGGTACATTGGAGAAAATCTTGGTTTTTTGTTTTTAAAACACGATACAATTCCACTTAAAATGACGTGAAAGATTTCATTTCAAAACACTAATATATTTTCAAAGCATTATATAAATGGCATTATTGTGACAAACAAATCTGTATAATGGATCCCTTAAGTACACATTGTTATTGTTATTGTTCCGATGACTGATTTTTTGGTACACAATATCTTTAAATGACCCACATTACATTGTAAATTATCTTAAGTAATTGTTAATATTTTAATTGTTTATTTAATTGTTTATTATAAGTAATTGTTTCAATGTTTTTTCTTTTAGTTTTTTTCATGAAAATTAATATAGTTGCATTTGTTCCTATTGTGCGCAACAGAATTATTTGTCATCGGTAAATTATTTTGTAATATTTATACAATTAAATAATAGAGAGATGTACAATGTTATTTTGCGCACAATGAGGGAAATGTACCAAGTTGCAAGATGGTAACATGAACACCGTGTGAGTTACAAAAGAACACGTAAGTGACCAGTTAAAAAAGTTTGACAATTCCAAAGAAGCCATGTTAAAATTCAATTGAAACTTCATTTTCAGTCCAAACGTTTTACAGGTCTTTTTTTTTAAATTTAGAGATGTTTTATAATATCCCAGCAGCTTCCTAGTATGACAAGGTCCTACTATAAAAACTTTTTTTTCTTTCGTTTTTAAAAAATATTCTCCGACTACAATAGGGCATGAATTTGATACAAGAAAACTCTAAATTAATTTATTGAATCCCCGCTATTATATTGCAAAGTTTGAGGGAATGAAGCATCATATAAACTTATTTTTGTATTGTTAAGAATGATTTAAGGCTGTTTTGCCTCAATTAAAAGCGACCGTATCGCTGTGAAATCACAATGGTATTTAGTGATAATTGTACGATATCTGGTGGCACAATTCCGTGGTTGTTTTTTTATTTCTTTGAATTTAGGGAAGAAAGAGAGTTTTAACAAAACGATTCAAACTGCCGTTACAAGGGTGCCAATGGAAGATGTAACAAATAACTTTCTTCTCTCAATCAACCAGCCAGAAGGTCAATCCTTCAACACATGGGTGCGTTTTTAGAACAACCCTTCTTTATGAATGGGGAACGTCACGTAGCCCTCCACAGAAAAGAAAAGTTTTTAACCACTTTTCCTCGTCACAGTTTAATGGGGAACGTTTATAATAAATGAAAGAGAAACAACCCGCACTGTATTTTTTAACCATAAATATTGTATTTTTGTTCTGTATTAGTGTAGCTAAACTTGATTAAATCCTGTCGTTTTTGACAAGTTAGCCTTAGAAAAAGATATGTTTGTATACAGGGCCTTCCGTATGGGGAAAATACTACCCTACCTGCGCTGGAAATCGACAGAGTCCCATCAATCTCATCAGAAGTGAATCGAAGAACAGCCGAAAGTTCAAAATCCAGCTTCATGACTACGACAACATCATCGCTGGCTCTATCACCAATATCGGCTACACAGGGGAACTCAAAATACGCGACTGCGGATGAATTTGTCTATTGCGGAGGCGAGCACAGTTTTACTCGCACGAGCAGTCGTAGTCCAGCACTTTTCTTCCCACTCCTTCAAACCGAGCACTGCATAACAGTAGGGATGGGACAATGACAACAAAACATCAAACTTAAAAATTAAATATGAATATTAATATATCGTTCTGAAAGCAACAATGTTTAAATCGTCGTTGTTTTCAAAAATGATTTAGTAACATCTAACATTCATTTTCGCATGAGGAAAAATTTGACTTGGAAATGGATGTTTTTTTTTTATTTATAATGTACAATTGAACTGATCGAACGACTAAAAATCAATACGAACAAATCACAAAACTGAACCTGCAAATCTCAGTGCTCAAAATCATCTCAAGGAGTCGGAGAATTCTCAGTTCATATTACAACAATTCAAAAAGAGGGCGGTCATTCACCGACTACCCATGCGTCGATCTTTGTGCAGTGGTGTTTATTATTAGTATTTCATATTTAACTTTAAAACAATAGATAATATTAAATGGAAGATAACTGAATCTTTAACAAAAAAGCTCATTAATAGAATTGTATGGAAAGTTGTTTATACAACTTATTTTCATTATGAATTTATATAACTTATTTTCATTACGAACGAAATGACAGACATGCACAGACAGACAGACCGACAAATAGGCAGACAGACGGGAAACAGATAGTCAGACAAAAGGACGTAGATGGACAGGAAGACGCCGAGACAGCCATATAGATGAACGGACAGATATTCACTTCACATTTCAATTTTCACGGACACACAGACACTTAGACAAATCTATAGTCGCACGGACGTACCTCCTGACATTTTATTTTAGGTCTATTCGCTATTAGGAATACGTAAGTCTGAGTTTAGATCCCAATCACGCGCTATTTCCGTTTTATGCACGATGGTAACGTGTATTGTAGAGCAATGCGGGTTGCATTTGAAAATGATTGCCTGAAAACTGATAAACGGTGAACTATATTTCCGGTGTCGTAAATTTCGTTTATGCAACACTGGGGGATAATTCCCTAATCCCCTGAAATGCACCTAGGGACTATTGGGTCGAAGACCTTTTAAAAATTGCCAAAACCGACGCATTTCCTTTACGTATTATTTGTAATGGTATTTTTAAGGGATGGTGGGATAGTGCTACTGAAATGATACATCTTTAGTCATTATGAAATGATGAATGATCGTGTAGACGTATTTGAATTGGTGATGGTTTGCTATTGCTAAAGTACGGCTACATATCGCAAAATCATGCCTCATTTTATCATAAGCAAGGAACGGTTACAACAAAAGCTCTCTTACAGTTTAGGAGCCTCAGGGCATTGATTAATGTCACTGAAGTGCCTCTGACCAGGAGGTTCGAGGGTTTGAGTCCCGATGGTGGTTGAATTTTCGACACCAGCTAGGTCGTTTTCAGTAGCCCTCTGAAGGAGGAATCTAGCGGACGGCTGCTCTGATCGGTAGTTTTCCGTTCAAACCAGGTGAAAGGTTTCTCCGATCGATACTAGGTGAATGCTAGAGCTGTACTCTAAGAAACGGGTCATAGACTACGCACAATCACCCTTCCTCATCCCTGCCCTGTACTCACCTCTTACTTCCACTTGCATGCACTACATTACCACACATGTAAGGGAGCTTAGATCTTGTTCTGACTGAGGCGGTGCTCCATTAGTAGGGGAAAAAACCGTAAGCTGACGTGTTGGTCGGCACAGAATCTCATCATTCAGCAAGTGAAAGTGACTGCCAGATTGCGCAATAAAACGTTCACTACATTAAAAACCTTATATGTTGACCCGCCCAGAAATATTATTAAATCAATCGAAGGTTTTTGCGAAATTTACGTCGCTCTCACGAGACGAAAGGCGATTCATTATTTCTTGTTGCAGTTTACTTTGTATTAAACACGACGGAAAATTCAACGAAACCTTCTTTATTTGTCTCCATCGGTGATGGACAGTATGACGGCACGTACTACTTACGGTCGATGCACTTTCATGTTCCGAGCAACCATCTTGATGAATATGTTTCCAAGTGAGTACATACAATTTGATGATCTTTTTATTGGGTTGTAATGAACTTCATAGAATAATAACAAAACTTGCTAGATAGAAATTAGAATGTGGAAAAGGTTTGACTTTTTGTAACTTTCACAAAATCAGAGTTTTCAACGAAAATGAGACCTGCACCATTGGCATAAATGTCCTTCATACTATCCAACAATAAAATTTAATAGAAGACGTTGAAACTGTTTTGTTTTTTAAATAACCCATGGTTTAATGTAAAAGGAAAGGAATAGCTAAATTTCAAATGATAACACATTCATCAATTTTTGTAATTTATTTTTTAAAAAATGTATTATATAACTACTATAAAAATATTACATAACTATTACTAAAAGCGAGAAAGAACGTGCACTTTTAGCACCATTAGTTTCAAAATTAGCTAATTCTACAAACAAGTTGAAGAAAATAATTTATACAGGATGTATCACACAATATTTGTTTTTACTTTCATGCAATATTTATGATAAGGAAATAATGTTTTGTAAAAAAACATTATTTCAATTTTTAAAAAAATTCTCAAAGCTTCGGCCCTTAATATTACTAAAGAAATATGTTTTTAAAATATTATGAAAGAGAAAACCCTGTTCTGAATACAAAATTTCATTGAAAAATTTAGAGCTGTTTTAGAGAAAATGTAGTGTTAATGTTTCAAAAAAGGATAATTTTCTCCCACTCCTATTTCCAATCCTTCTCCCACTCCCCCCGAGAAGGGATGAAGCAAAACAGAAAGGAAGCCCCAACTCAATATATTTGGGAACTAACTAGTGCGAGAAGGACTGTTCCAATTTCTAGCATTACTAGTTTCAACACAAAAGACTACTGGGGACGTCTGGCTACAAGTCCTTTGGGAAGAGAGAGCCTACCACTCCAGACACTTTGAACGGTATCGTTCTAATATATCTGCTATAACCCTTCCTTCTTTATTTTTTCAGCGAGGTGGAGATGGTTCTAATGCACATGAATGCCAAAGGAATTATTGGCATGTCCTTCCCAGTAACGGTAATTACTTACTTTAAAGAGATTTGGATACAAATTTAACATATAGAAGAAAATGGATACAAATACAACTCTTTGTCGCTTTCATAAGCAATTGCATCAACTATGGATTAATAGTACTTAATTAACAATATTTACTTATCCAAACAGTGAGAAATTCACCATAGATAAAAGGAAACGTGGCCCATTATTTGGTAAAACGTTCTTAGTATTAGATGATGCTGTTAAGAGTATAATGTTGTTTAAGAGCAAAAACTTCGTCTTTTAAGAGAGTGGTGGAAGGAGGGATGTTGTTTACTCAGTGACTCTCTGTTATGAAGGAGATTCTTAATTTTTTCTAAGTCAGTTGCATAATCTCAGCCTACTTACAATTATCTACATTACCTACATCCAAACAATTAATAGTGATAATGAAGGACTTTTGCTTGACACTAAGGACATCTTAAATACTCAGGTATTTTACACAATTTTATTAAGTTAAATGCAATGAAAAATTAATATATAGTTTTCAGTAATATGAATAGACAATTTAAAGGATATTGACTTTTCAGTTGATTGGAAAAGTTACTAAGAAAAAGAATCAGATAACTAGTTATTCTATTTTTTCAAAATTGTTATCACCGTTATATTGACAGGATATTACAAAACGTGTGTCTTAAAAACTACCTCCCTACTCAAACAGCTTTTATCCTTCTTTGGAATTTAATAAACGAGGCAACCTAAAGATTGTGTGTCGCGCTATAAAAGAATCTAATCTTCTACAGCAGCATCAAAGAAATCACAAAAAGCAGAACATACTTATCTTTTGAAGACCAAAAACTGGATATGATTGTCCTCAGAATAAAGATCCTTGAAGATTAAGAAAACACTACCAAATTTATCAATCATGCATTAATATTAGGTTAATGTCCTTTATAAAAATACATATTGACATATTTATATACAAAATACCCATATTCTTAATTTGGAATGTTCAAAACCTACTACATTTTTATACAGGTGCTGAAATATAAAATGGCAGTATTCCAAATGTCCATCTTCTACTCGGAGATATAAACGTTGAAAAAAAAGAATTATTCCAAACTTTTAAAATTCGCAAAATTAAATCGAATACAAAATCCAAATATTTGAAGTGCACGTCATAACATTATAATATGTTAATATATATAACCAGGGATTGATTTCTGAACGCGACGAAACGGCGGTACCTCGGCAATACGTCCGGTTCCACGGCAATAATTAATAAACTATATTATACCCGCACACTTTCTGGGATATGTTTTGTGTTAAGATGTTGCTGTGGTGAAATAGTTTATTTCATGAAAATATATTTTCTGTAAATTGTCAAGCTTTTTATTATTTTTACATTACCTCATAAAGCGAGGTATTGGTTTAGAAAAAAGTTCTAAAAATTTGTACTCTAGGAAACTTAGCACTATCATTTTATAATAGCGAGGCAACTCCCTCAAAAATCGTCAATTTATCAATTAATATTTCTAAATTTTTGAAGAATTGAGAATGGGAAATTATGTTATGGGATAAGAAAAATTACATTGAGTACGTAGAGAAAAATCGGGGGATTTTCTTTTATCGGAAGTTTAAATTTATCTTACATTCGTTTTTCCAGCAATGGTAAAGTGTGGGTAGATCGAACTCTCCATGTAAGCATTTCAAAAAATCTATGAAACTATAATTGATACAAAAGCTCATCAAAAAAGGTCATGTACACTTTTTTTTGAAAGAAACAAAACAAAAAAAACAAGAATTTTGCGCAATTTCTACTTGAAATTAATGAAATATACACAGCTTTCACAGCACATTCCATTTATGGAAAAAATGACGCTTTAGGAAGAATTGATAAGAAAATGTGCCCATTATTTATATCTCTCCATTTGCGCTTTGTTGTCAGCGCTCATGGACTGCGATGTGTTGATATAGTCAGAAATGCGGTATAATATTATTACATAACCGTTACTATGGGGGCGAGAAAGTATATTCTGTTTTAGCACCACTAGTTACTTTCTACTTCATGTCAGTTTCACAAATAGGTTTCTATTTAATAATTTGACTTTAATTCATCATTTGGATGGGGAAAACAATTACCTATTTTTTCTACATTTTATGACTACTATTTGTCAACAAAATTTCCTTATATTTTTATTTGCTACAAAGAAAAAATATATTCATTTTCGTGTTCGGATCAAGTTAATAACATTTATTTTCTAAATACTAAAATTCACCAATCCGCATTGTTTCAGTAGTATGTACGAAGTAATATACGTAGTATAGTAGGGAAAGATATGTAATGCTGCGCGAAAAAACGGCTAATTTTCGGCAGAAAAAAATCATTGCCATACCCTCATAACGAAGAAGTGGATAAATCCAGTTGCAAAATTATATTAAAAAATCCTCTAACATGTGATGTAGCCAGAATTCCTGCATTGTTGGTCCTGAATACCGAAAAATCAATTGATGGTCAAAAGGTCCATCCGCCTCTCTGTGCGTCTGTACGTCATCTGTGAACACCACTAGCACCTAAACCACGTAAAACACACTAAAATACGTATGACCTTTTCCAAATTGAATATTCCCCGCTCGATATGGCTCCACTCGAGGCGCAGCGATTTTGAAAAGCTTTCTTCGAAATTTGGAGTACTTTAGATGAAGCACACGAACATTTTCAAAATTTCCTCCTTAATGACGCCAATTTTTATCTTTAAATATCTTGTAAAATACACTTTTAAAGGAGGCATAGGTCAGATTTCCACGGTTAACTCTGAATTTTCGATAATTAAAGAAGTTTGATTTTTTTGGGAGTCTTCCTTCAACTTCAAAATCGATGATAGAGGTTTTTCGTTCAAATTAAATGTTGTTCATAATTAGTTCTTTCATTAAGGTCGTGTACTTTTTTTAACCCTTTAGAAGTTTTCACGCAATATAGCGTACAATATTAGCAATTTTAAAATATTACAAAAACACGATTTTCTCAAAAACCCAATTTTTGTTCTTTAAACTTTCGGTAGGGATACTGCTAAATGTACTCTATGAGTTGACATAAAGGTCATAATACTCTAATGTTTTGTTATTTTCTAAAATTACACAAATGTATTTTTTTTGGAAGATATCTCACGCCGTTAATGTGCACATTTCTACCAATTTATAAACACATTGCATTTGTCACTTTAAATGCGTTAAATGACTTCATATATCTCTAATATCATTTCAAACATTTTCTGTGAAAAAGTGCTTCAAATTTGCAGTCGCGCTTAAACGCCATTTTCATAGAAACAGCTCCCAATTTTCAAAGAAAAGTGGCTTTTTCGACGATTTTAACTGTTCTTTAATAGTCTTAAAATATTTCCGTTGTACTATTAGGAAACCGAAAGATTGATTTAAAAAAATATAGTTTGGGCGGCTATAGATCGCAGCTACCAAGAGTATGTAGCAAATCCGAATAGGTTGCCGAAACGAAAGGAAATAGTTAACTAATACGGGAAAGTGTGACATACGTAGCACTGCTAGTTTACTAACCCGTTTACGCACGTACATATATACGGAGTAATACATGTATACATGTATATACGGAGTAGTACATGTATATACGGAGTAATACACGTAGTATAGGGAAATTTATGTAATGCTGCGTGAAAAAACAACGGATTTTCGGCAGAAAAAATTCATTGCCATGATCTGATAACGAGTATTAGATTTAGATTAAGAAAAATAATAATGCGGGGATGTCTCTACCATTCTGCAGTACCACAAGTTATTTATTTAAAACTCCGATCTGATCATTGGCTCCGTCGAGCGATGCCTTCCGCTCGCTATAGGACGGTCAAAAATGCTAAACAAATGAACCACGTTTAAAAGTCCTTTTATCCAGAAGGATAATACCGTTGTGTTAGTAAACAAACATGACTAGATTTATAGTAAGTGTCTAAACTAGATTTAAGTTTCGCACGTTGGTCGTTCCTGTACAATATAGTTGGCTTATCATGTAATATATTTATATTAGTTTTATTGATTTATTTATATATTTGCTTTAAATAATAATATTAAATAATAGTAGTAATAATAATAATAATAATAATAATAATAATAATAAAAATAAATGGCTTATTCGAAGAGTTCCAAGGGATGCTTTGGTTGCAATGGGTATAGTGAAGGGTAGTGATATGTAGTAAAGTGGAATTACAAAACTATTTTCAGTATCTGTAATTGTGAGAACTGCCTTTGAAAAATACACCCCAGGTGTGTTATTTTAGAGATATTACCGTTATTCTCAAATGACCTCATTCCATTATCCTATTATCTTTTTACTTTCTCGCCTTACGAAGGAACTTTGTAAGAAAAGTTATGCAATCGTGCACCAGAAAAAGGCGATTTTTTGGAGATGTTTATTTAGTCCGCCCATTTTCATGTAAAGATATATACGTGATTTCAAGAATTGGAAAATGGCCTCAGCATTGTTATCACATTTTTTTCAGCTGCATGGTATAGGAAAGTTTTAAACTCCATTGATCCATTTTATTCATGTTTACAGACTTGTAGAGCTGACAGGAGGGGCTTTTTACCGCATCAATTGAAAGATGCATTGGCGGACCTCACCGAAGTAGGAAACTCAGTGGATTTCGAGTTCAACCCCGCTTCTATGCTAGATGTGGATGAAGGAAAAATGACAGAATGTGGCTTCTACAGTTACCTGGGATCGCTCACCTGGCCTCCATGCTCTGAAAATGTCTTTTGGTTGGTGCGCCAAAGGAGCGTCTGCACAACGCCACGGATGGTAGGGCACGGAATACCCCATGACTGCCATAGAGAATTTATTCATTTCATAGATGTACATGATATATCTCCGTGTTTCCAAAATTCTAACCACACATCATTTTATCCGCTTTAATTATCGAAAGTCATTATCACGAAACATGTTTTGTAGTATGTGTTCTAATAATCCATGGCTCAGTATTAACGACTATAATACATTTCGTAAAAGTTTAAATATTCTTCTTTTTATTATTCACATTAAAACACACAACTTATACACTAATTCATGACTCCCTATTAACAACCAACATCAGTCTGCCACCTTTCCTACGATGAATACTCAAAGTTTCACTTAATACGTTGAAAACACGCGTTTACGTCCACCTGAAGTTAACATGTATGGCTCCAGTGTGTTGTGAACAAGACTTTATCGCACCTATGTTTCATACAACATTTGCAAAATAACTGATTTTGCCTTTTTGAAATGATGCTTTTACTCCACGCACTTTACTTATACTTTAACCAAGTAACAATAATAATAATTAGTATTATGAGTATGTATATTCATGGCATTTAAAAGGTGCATGTTTGCTTATATTCTATCCCACTTGCAGATGGCGGCTTTCCACAACCTCACTGATGTGACTGGGCGACGATTACAAAACTCACGCCCAGTGCAACCGGTAAAAGACCGCGAAGGGGTTCTCTACCACCCTTGCTAGGGGCGATGACTCAACGTTGGTTTGCACTTTTTTAGAAGAAATATCTCCTCAGAATTATGAAAAGCAAATTGTGATGATGATTGCAGCCAACAAATGCACTCACTTCCATGGCCAAAAAGTTCGAATTACTTTAAAACGTCTTTGTCTGTAGGAAATGAAGAATAATTGCTGTCTCAGTGTTTTATTTTACTTGTTGATGTCCACTACTGAACGTTTAAGTTTTATAATAATTGCTACCTACGAATGCAATTGAAACGGAATTTCACTTTTGCAGTACTTAATAATTGTTTACTTCTGGTATTCAAAAGAGGACAGATAGGGATATATAATGTAAAAGAATAATACTGGTGGGGAAGACTGAATTGTCTGTTTGCCATTAGCAGATATGATATGGAGAAGAAAAAATTATAATTGCCTCATAAATAAATATGAAATGAATCTAAAAATGAGTGTTAAAGTTAAACAGAATTAAATATCCCTTTAAATGTTTATTCCCTAATCCAAGTACTGTTAATTATGTTCAAATGCACAATATTCACCGGAATTGATGTAAAAATGTATTAACTCTGCAGAATAGTAAAAACACAACCGAATATACAATTATTACACTTTTACAAATGTTAATCTTTGACCCCTACAACACTACTATTCTGCACTTTTTAATCACAATAATAAATTACAGTTCAATTTTAGCTACAACATTACGTAGATTACTTCGAAAACTACATTCTGGGGGATTTCCTACTTCGGGTATTACATATTAACTTATCCAACCTAATAAATACAGGTCGTTTCTAAATAAGTGTCTATAAATATGCGGGAGTTCTCCTGATGCCCGAACGTAACCAAAAGCTCATATGGACATCGGTCAGCAAACCCTTCGTTAGGCAGTTATGAGTTAAGGAAGTATTTAACCTGAAACTTGCATTTTCCTCACTTTATTTTTTTAAATTTATTTAAAGTCGCATCAACTGCGAAGTTATTAGCAACTATTCTGAAAGTTTACAAGAAGAGTTTTTATAGAATGGTTACATACTCTTTACACTTTTAAATTTTTTGTTTAGAGACATTTATTACAGTTTACAGTACACCGGTGGCTGATAATATTCCACCACATGTTATGATAATATATCAAGTACATATACTCAAAAACAGTATTACAGTTCGTTAGAGGCATTTATTTCACACTTTATTCTTTACAGCTCATCACGACAATAGTTTTTTTTTCTCTGATTGCCTTTTGTTCTGTTTTGTTTTATTTACCGTAACATTCATCACAGTACAAGATCTACTCAGTGAGAGAAATGACGGAGATTTCTTTCCACCATGGATAGCAATGTGAGGGGCATGATACTCCTGAGCTTCAACTCAGTCGGTCCTACGCGCAGGAGTCGCATTGGACGTGGACTCTATGTTGGAACGTCAGAAGCGAACGATTCGGAAAATGTTTAATGTTTTTCGCACCTCTACATTAATACCATTAATTAGTAAAGTTTTGCTTTCACTGCACTATTTTCCGTTTCTTAAAATGAATGAAAAAAATTTATGATGGGAGAATAAAAGTCACTGAAAATATATTAGTTTAGGGTTGATAACTCACAAAATAGACTTTGAGAATTTTAACAGTAACTTCATTAACAAAACTGAATAAAAATATTCAGAGTTAAATTGAACTACAATATTTATTGAAGCAAAAAAATTAACAAAACAAACTATTATTCTTTAAAATATATAAACTTCTTGTTCTTAAGATGATAAATAAAGTTAATTTAAACAACAATTTACTAAAATAATGGCTTCAACTCAGTAAAAACAGTATTCATTTTTAAAACCAAAAGTACAAATAGTTCATTAGGTTCTTGTTGAAAAACCTGTACATAGTCATCAATATATTTAATTCCGTTGATTACCCCTTATAACTTTGAGTTCATTCCTTTCCAGATTTTTAGCCCCATTTTACTGTAATAAATTCTACCAAATATTATTTTCTTATGCTTTACTAATCTTAACTTTTCAAAAACATATTTACGCTGGGGCACATTCCAAATCTATGAACTCACGTTCGCTGAAATTTTTCACATTCTCTGATATGTTTCACGTATTTTTCACGTTTTTACGTTCGCTCTCGGCTAAGTTACGTCTGCGCTCCATGACTATCACGTACCTTCTGCGTACTGATTTCCTGCCGCCAGTCCACTCTTTTCATCCCATTGTGATCCAACCAACGTTTTCTTTACAATATACTTTTATTCATGGGCCTTGCTCATGTCCGACCTTGTATTTGCGATAGGCCACCTTTGCCGATGTGCGTCTTCGTGCTGAGTGAAGTTTTCTTACAATTGTTTTGAACTCGGAAATGCAACGCTGCGCCTGGCACTTTCGTGTCTTCTTGTCAGTGGCCAAGAGTGGTCCAATTCACTTGGTTACTTGGTTGGTATTACTGTTCAGAGAGTGATACAATATTAGCTTGGTTTAGCACATTGGCGGCCAGATAACACTGATCGACAATGATTTTGTTAAATAGTCAACTGTGGCTGTTTCTTATGTAGTTTGTACCGCAAAAGCCGAATACAACAAAAGTTGCTCACCGGGCTCCGTTTTTATGTAATCGCACGTATACTACTAAAAAGATATTTACCACGAGTCGTTTAAACTGAAATGTTAGTTCCTTTCAGGTTTATTACAAGACAAGAGTCGTCAACAATGTATGATATTGATTTATTTACGTCAAAAGCAGTTAAAAATTGTTTATGACGTACTATGGGAAGTCTTAAGACTTCGTAGACGACGATAGTTTTCGGCATTTCGCTGAAACCTACTCTGAGCATCAAAGACTGAAACAGGAGGGCAAACAAACCACGTAGTACCACAAGCAAACCACGTACTTGAAATGCAATGAAGGGAAGTCTGTCTCGGTCTGACCACTCGGTGCACTGACCACTTTTTCGACCACTTCCTGACAAGGAGGCGCAAAAAATCCAAATTCTACACCTGAAAATCGCTCATCGAAAGTTTTATTAATTTCTTTCAAAGCACTTAGCGTAATTTTAAAAGGAAAACCAAAAGAGACACCCCCTCCCCGTCCATCTCACTCTTCCCCATCAACCATTATTTCCCACTCCCACCCCCTACCTCCTCATCGCCCTCCACTTACACCCAACATTTCCTATCCCCACTCCCCTCCACTGCCCCATTCCCCTTCTCCCTTCGGTTCTCTAAGGACGTACAGGTTTCCTGTACTTTAACCGTTAAGCTTATTTCATAATATCGAACATAAATAGACACCCAGCTGGCGAAACACAAACAAGATCAGGTATGCTTTTATTTCTTATACAGTTTATTAACAAACAAATAGATTTCTGGATTCTTCGATAGATTTCGGTGTCGCTATGTATTGATAACATTGACAATTCCTTGTGTGTGAAATAAACCAAGAGCTAATCGAACATAATTACAAGGAACCGAAACAGCAGCAGAGAAGTTTATAGAGCTCTTTCTTTGTTCAAATACTGCAGGTTTTGTATTAACGTTTCTCAACAACGCGGAACCTTTACGTTGTTATCTCACGTTGCAACGAGGCCACGTTAGTTCATTAATAATAAAAGTTTTAATTATTGTCTCCCTTACCTCGTTAACGAATTCCGCAACTATTCGCACTGAATTCCTCATTTAGATTACGGTAGTCTCACTATCACTATCTCTCATGTGTCTGCATGCCGTACTGGGAAAACTACCAAGATTAGTGTAAGACCATGTACGACTAGTTCTGTCATGGGAAGTTACTGCTGGAGTCAATTAACTGGCATCCTGGTGAAATATTTCTACGAGCATCCACATCAATTGACAAAATAGCCATCTTGAGAACTATCATTGTAACATAATAATATAAACTACTGCCTTCTTGTAAGAGCTTCAATTGAAATACAATATTCAAAACTTTTAATAATTTGTAAAATTGTTGATCCTAATTTCAATGTTTGTCTTGTTGCGGTATTAATTTTATAAATTTTTTTATAAATAGTCATTCTAAATACATATTACAATCTCCCTTACATAGCAAACAATCTTAAAAAATAATTAAAATAAAATGTATAACTTAATATACTATTGTAAGTAAGTCAGTCGCAGGTCACCTCGGTAGCTCAGTGGTTAAATCAATTGGGTGTAACCCAAGGGTCCCAGGGTTGAATCCTGGTCGGATGGCACTTCTTTGAATCTTTCCAGTTGTTAAAAATGCGATGGTGTCACAATAACAAAGTCACATCATGAATGCATTTACTTTGAAATACAATATTCCGAATAACCTCTTCAAGAAGGTGAGAGGATGGTGACAATTGAATATCACACTAGTGGTGCAACAGAATGGCACAGACATTCTCCTAGTTAGTTTTCTACTTTCTTTGGACGAGCTAGCTTCTCGGTCTTGCTCCAACCTCTGTCGAGCTGCCATCTATCGCCACTCAAAGTCAATTTCTTTGAATTTTTTTTCAATTTTTCGGTTTTTTAATTGAATCGAAATATTACTTTAAGAATATTGTTCGATCTAGCTAGCTGATCTTTATTATAAAACTTTTATTTTATTCATTGCGCATCGCATCAAGGCCAAGTTTCTGAACAACCATTTCAACAATGTATTTTCATCCTACATCCTTAGCTTATGTAATGTGCACTGTTTATGCAAGCCATTCTAAGAATCCACTCTGCAGCTGCGATCATCCAATCATCCAATGCGGGTAAAAAAAATTGATCAACGGATATCTCAGAACCTTCCAGAATATTTTTTCATAAAATCATTAACCCTGAAGGGTTATCCATGCAATGTATGTTATCAATTTTGCATTTTAAAATACTTCACAAGCATACAATTAATTTCATTAATTAAACGCAAGGTTCTGCTCTTTCAAGTTAATATTGCAATGAAACACGTCTTCTTATTCGTCAATATACAAGGAAATTTTAAATGAAAACGTTAGAGCCATTTTTAGAAAAAATCGTAAGGTCTAGTGTAATTGCGAAGTTTAACGCTCTTTTCCCATGAATCTTTTGTTATCAAAAAGTGTCGTTTGAAGTAATATGCAGCACTTTTACTCACAAATGCAATAATGTCTACAAATCGCTGGAAATGTGCCTATTAACGGAGTGAGAAATTAAAAAAAGTACATTTATGTAATTTGTGTAAAAACAAAAGGATATAGTAAAAATAATTTTATGTTTTCTTAAACAGGGCAATTCGCAATATCGTTACGAAAAGTATGAAGTAAAAATGTTTTACAAAATGTCGTTTCAGCGTTTCGGAAATAGCCGAATTTTGAGTTCATTTTCACAAAAAAATCTGAGTTTTCGAGAAACCATCAGACGTAATTTAAAGCGCCTGTACTCATATATGCAACAATGTGAACTAATCATCGCTAATGTAAATATTAACGACGTGAGCGACTAGTCAAAAAATTATTTTTTTGTAATTTTGGAAAAATAAAAGAATAGAGCAAAATGGCATTTTTTTTATCTCAGAGAACATTTAGAATTATCCGTAAATTAAAAAGAAAACATATTGAGCCGTTATTGGAAAAATCTTGTTATTTCGTACAATTATACATATTGCACGAGAACTAAAAGTTTCAAAGAATAGTATATGATCTTATTGAAAGAACTAATTAGAGAACAAATTGTGTTTGAAGTAAAAGTCCCTTTTTCAATTTTTATTTTCTCGCTACCCCTCACGCAGTAGAGAGGATGTTGTATAATGCTGCGCGAAGAAAAGGCGAATGTTCGGCAGAAAACCTCTAATTGCCGGGCCCTGATAACGAAAAAGTAGATAAATCCAGTTGCCAAATGTAGAAAAAATCCTCTAACGTGTGGTGTAGCCAGAATCCATATTTTCTGGGTCTTTGATACAAAAAAAAAAAAAATGACGGCAAAACGATCGTCTTGTGAATATAAACACTTGCTCCTAAACAATGCGCAGGATATTTCCTAAAAAAGAAATCCCTGCCGATCAGGCCTGAGTCGAAGCTGTGCGATTTAAAAAAAAACATGCATTAATTTTTGGTGGTACTTTACAGGAAGAACCCCAAGAGATTTTCAAAAATGGCTCCAAAATTTTCTGGCACAGGCCTGTTAACTTTAATTTTTTTATAATTACAAAAGTTTAAATTTTTTGCGAATTCTTACAACTACACAATTGAAAACAAATTTTTCCTTCAAATTAAATTTATTGTTCATAATTAGTCCTTTCATTAGAGTAATGTACATTTTTTGAAATTTTAGAAGTTTTCGCGCAATATTGCGTGCAATATGTCAAAAAATAACGTAAACAAGATTTTCTAGAAAACGGCTGCAAATATTTCCTGTTTACTTTTGGTGGAGATAGTGATAAATGTTCTCCAAGAGATGACATAAACGCCATATTGGACGATTCTTTTATTTTTTCAAATATTACACAAATGTAAGTTCTTTAAACAAAAACTCAAAAATTTTCTGTGAAAAATAGCTACAAATTTCGAATTTACAGAAGCGCTGAAATTCCATTTTCCTATAAACCGCTCCAAATATTTTAACAAAAAATTCTTTATGGAATAATATTTTACTCCTCTTTAATATTCTTAAAGAAATATTTCGGTTCTACTACTAAAAAACCGAAAAATTGTGAAAATGTCAAAAATTGTACTTTGGGCGGCAATAGATGGCAATTGACAAGAGTATGTGGAAAGTCCATATAGCTAGACGAGACCATAGAAAGTTGAAAACGAATACGGGAAAGTATGTGCAATTCCGTAGCACCATTACTTACTTTCTCGCATACGTAAGCACAGTATATACGTAGTACAGAGAAAGTTACGTAATGCTGCGGAAAATCGATTTCGAGATTTCAATGGAAATTCACCTTTTTCCTTTCACCCCCTAGCGATATTTTTTTCAAAACGTCTGTCCATTCGTCCGGTGTAAGTGAACAACACTAGCGCCTAAACTAAGCATACATTTTTTTCCAAACTGAATGTCGATACGGCCTGAGTCCAAGCATGCGATTTTGAAAAACAATCATTTTTTGGGGTTCTTTAATGGAGCACTTGGGACATTTTCAAAATTCTCTCATAATGGCTTCAAATTTTCTTCTTTAAATTTCTTTAATACAAAAGTATAATTTTTTGCCTGGTCTCTCCTGTCGTCAATGTTGAAAATAGTGACTATTTGATCACATTATTGAGAATTAAAGGGCTTTAAACGATTTCTTATAAAGTTTCTCGAAAACTGAAAAGCTTTTGTGAAAATGAGCACAAAATTTCTCATTTTCAGAAACGCCATTTTGTCAAAAACGGCTATAACATTTTTTCTTCCACCTTTTCGTGTGGATAGTCCTAAATGCACTTTTTAAGAAGACCTAAAATTCATTGTGACCTACTTTTTTTAAAAAAAAATTACACAAATGCAATTTCTTTTATATCTCTCACGATTTCAATATGTACATTTCCAGCAATTTGTATACATTATTGCATCTGTATGTGAAAATATTTGAAATTACTACCAACAAGGTTTTCCGAAAACTCAAAAGTTGTTTGCGAAAAGGAACATCAAATTTTGTATTTACAATAAAACTTAAATACTATTTTCTTAGAAACGGCTCCCAAGTTTTCAACCAAAATTTCCTTATGGGATGAGGATTTACTATTCATTATATTCTTCAAGTACTATTTAGGTTCTACTTCCTTAGTTCTAGGAAATCAAAAATCGAGAAATTTTTTAAACTAGTGGTGCTTCAACCGCACATTCGCGTTATTGGAAACAGCTACGCATTATTGAAATAAAGCATTTTCTGCGCTGCTTACACCTCAGCTATCATTAGAAAACGTGCAATTCAACCAAGAAGCGAGCAACGTATTGTTGCCAGCGCAGCGTTGTCAAAACTAAGTGCATTCGTTTGGCTAATTATATCAATACAGTACTAGAATATATGTAATTGACATCGAAATAATTACGAAAATTCTGGTTGCTCACTCCTGAGTTGCCTTTCGTCGTAAGATAACAGTTCCCATAGCGTTTCGTCGTTTTTCTTTTATTCAACATGCAGTAAATTTTCATAGTGATCAGATAATATTAAATTATGAATAACACACCTACAATGTTCACTACTGATTATTTATTTACACTGTTCACTTCTACACTATCGCACAGTCCGATGCACTGACCACAGACCGACTGCGCTGGCTACAATTCACTGCGTTGGCTACAGTGCACGGCGCTGATCACGGTCCTCTGCACTGCTGTTCACCGCAATGCACACTTCACAGCTCAGCTTCCACTTCAGACTGCCTTGCGACCGCTGGCAGCGGCGAATTTATAACTGGCTGAAGCCCACTTGGACCTATCCGAAACTTGCGCCATACTTCTACGCGACTCGCAAATAATCCGGAACCGTCCAGTTCGGGTGGCGCCGGCAGATGACGCAATTCGCACTGCGATTTCCGCCAAATAATTCGTTACAATATGTCCTTACTTCGGAGAAATAATTCACACTCTTAAGGAATTCGAATTTACCAGCTGTTAGACTGTCGATTCGTTTACATTTCTTGCTTAAGAACCCTTCGAAATATCGTGATTGGATAGGTACACACGTATTATACGTACGAAAAATATGGGGAAAAATATGATAGATTTAGATTTATTTAGTCAAAAAAACAGTAAAAACGTGACGTATGGGGGAGATCATCTGCGAAGGTTTTCGTGAGTTCCAGAATCCCTTCCCATCATTCTAACTAGAAATAGTTGAAAGATGAGTAAAAGTTTAAAATAAATAAATAAAAATATTTTTTTAAAGGGCGAGATTAGCAATACTTGGAAAAAAGTACACATTTTCGTGCCCGAGTTACAGAAAACTTATTTGCATCGGTAAACGAATTGCAGATATGATTTTTCCGTATTGCTAACAAAAAAGTAACTCTCCTTTACCTCTACTGTTACAAGCAAAAGGAGAGTTCAACAAAACGTGCGCATAGTGAAGCTATATTTACGTCCAGAAGCAAAGCAAGGGGCCATCTCACCATTTGCTTAATGGATCAGGGAACCTGGACAAACTTCTGATCGATTGGGGGTCATTGGCTCGGAAGCTGAAGTACATTATTTGTTACAAACATAATAAGTCTGTTTAAAAAATATATACAATACAAATGTAACCTAATTCAATATATATATATATATATATATATAAACAAAAAACTGTCACATCACAAATCTTTTGGACAGGACGAAGTCTGTCGGGTCCGCTAGTATATATAACTTTTTTGTTAAAATAAACATTATTTTTCGTTTTGATAATTAGTTAATCCCTAATGTTCTCACCATTAAGTAAGTCAGTTTTGACAAATTTTACAGATTCGTAAATAAAAAGGGAAGGCAGTGGTAAGATTTCAAGCTTAATGAAGAGGGATCACGCGGATGGCATTCATAATTCGAAAAATTTTCTTTTGCAATCTAAAGGTCTGAGTACTACATGATGAGTTTCCCCAGAATATTATGCCATATCTCCGGCGGGAATGCACATTTGCAAAATACACGCAATAAGGTGCATGAAGCCTGACAGAATTTGATAGAATTCTGAATGCGTAACATAATGAACTTAATTTAGTGTTTAATTTTGTTATATGTACATCCCATTTGAGGTTTGAATGAATTCAAAGACCTAGAAATTTTGTTACCTGAACATCAGCTAATTGTATATTGTCCATTTTCAATGGAGCATGCGATTGATTTGAAATGCAAAAATACATTGAAACATTGATACGATTACCAATCATATATTATTATTAGTTATGGTTGAACTCAATTACGAATACTGCAACAAAAATTCTCTTCATTCTACATATTTTCAAACTTTTCATATTAATGTCCATTTTTAGTACCAAATATAACTTGGTGTCTTCTTTACATTACTATTGTTTTAGGTTTGTATCACGTAGTGTTTGTACTTCAGTTGAGCGTTTCTGCACTATACCCAGAGAGTATATATGACTATACCAGCGTCAGCACTGCTCGTTGCTACACATGCGCAATTACGTTTCATCACGTTATTGGCCTGACGAGAGAGAAAGAAAGAACGAGGTTGCCGAATTGATGTCTGTCCATCCTCTTCTACAGAACCTTTCTAGTTGTGAATCGGGTGAACTATAGAACTTCAGTGCTTTCGACATTATTTGTGGTGTGAAGAAGCGCGGGTTTCCTTAACCTAAATTTGTAATAGTGGTCGTGTTAGTTGTCTACGTTGTGAAATATGCGAAATACGAATCCCCAGTGCTATGAATTTGTGTAAGACATAAATAATGGATGCGTCCAATGCGATGGAAAGTAATTGTGAAATGAAGAGGGAGATCCTCAATGATGAAAATTATAAAGATTTACCAACTGATGAGTTCCTGCTCTCAAATGACACCATACATCATGTAGAAATAAATAATTCAGGCGAGCCGATGTCTGATAAAGTGCCTGATAATGATACAAATTCAATTGATGAAGTGCCTTCGAATCTCAGTGCCAGTGTAGTTGATGCTGTTACAAAATCAGATTGTCAAGAATATACAGAATGTGAAGATGCGACATACATTGTACCAGATTCTCCACATAACAGTTTATTCTCCAAAATTAACACAAACTTAAACGATGCCTCAGAAGAAGTAAACAATATTGACAGTGGTATTTGTGAGGACAGTGATTCACATTGTGATGTATTAAGTACTGAAGGTGGTAATGCTGAAGAAGTTTTACCTGACATTTCAGAAACCTGTGAATTGGGCTCGGTGCAACAAAGTTCTTATCAAAATATTACCAGTAAAAGAAAATTTGATGTAGAAGGCAACAGCGAGTTAGGTGAAACTGCTTTTACTGACTCCCTTAGCACCGACAGTCCAGGTGATTTGCTATCTATCAAGGAAGAAGGAGAACTTCATTTGCAGAACGAGGATTCTGAGTTGTCAATCAAGGACCGTTGCAGAGAATCAGATGGAATTGTTGTAAACAGTGATTCCATTTGTGCAGATGAAAAGGACAAAAATTGTGATTTGAGGAAGGCAAAGGACTCAAAGTGTGTTGATGAAACAGTTGTGTCTGTCAGGAAGAATATTGAAAGACAGGATGCTTTAACTTGTAACCCTGCGTCTGCCAGGAAAGGTTTCAGCAGTGTCTCAGAAGTTGAAAATCCTGTTCTATATCGGTGTATTAATTGTTCTTTTACTAATGCACAACTTGAAAAGGTGTCATCTCACGTTCTGACTTGTCCTAAAAAACGCAAGCAAGAACAAATTCAAGTGTCTGATAAAGGAGAACCCCCATCAAAAGTTTCTTTGTTAGAACAACGTTTAGTTCTGCCAACTAAATTTACTACTGCATCGAAACCACAATCTGTTATTCTATCTCGTTCTCAAGTTCCAATTACATCAAAGACCCAGCTCGTAATTACTCCCCAGTCTCGGCTTCTACCTTCACCACAACTTCGAATTTCTACCGCACCAAAGACCCACATTAACACTCTGCAGCCAGCTCAGTACGTGTTATCTTCGCCAACCCCGCAAACTGCCATGAATAAAACAGTATTTGCTATTGCACCGAAGCTTGTGTCGACTTCAAAAAGTCAAGTTATTATCAATCCTCAAACTCAACGCCATGTTTCATCGCAGCCTCAAGTTTCAATAAAGAAACAGAATCTAGTATTGAAGCCTCAAGTAAGCATTTCTCCCCAGACTCAGTTATCCTCTTCATTGAAGGCATCACCTGTTTTAACATTACAAACTCCATTTATGTCAACTGCCCAACTTTCTTCTGTCTCTCAATCCCAAATTGCAACCTCCTCTCAGCTTCCCCTTACAAGTGGTACCAAAGTCACTCTTGGTCCCCACTCTCAAGTACCAATCGTGCCACAGGCTCCGTTGACTCTGCCTCAACAGGGTCTGACCATTGCTCAAGCTGGTACACAACTTCTTATCACAACGAAGCCAGTCCAGCAGAGTGCTGGTGTTTCCAATCAACCAACTTTGTTGGGGCTTGGCATTGGAACAAATCCAGCTTTGGCACCAAATAATATAGTTCTGCTTCCCAATGTTTTATTAAATTCAATTGCTCCTTCTACAGGAAAAGTGAATGGCAAACAAGCCCCTGCTGTTCAAAGACAACTGATCCTTCAAGCAACTCCAACAACTACTACTACTAGTTCAATTGCACCAATACAATTGCAAAATAATAATGTAAATATTTCACAGTCACATATACTAATGCCCCCTCTCTTTACAGTCTCTAATAACCCAGGTTCTACTGGTGGTATCAAAACAACAGTCTCCAATATTGTGCAGAAATCTAAGTTGCCAGTATCATCATCACCTAATTCTACATCAAGTGTCAAACCAGCACCTGCCAGTACAACAAATACAAAACTTATTGAACTGTCAAATCAGGTTAATACGTCACTTGATAAATTCATCTGTGAGATATGTGATGATTCTGTAAAAGATCTGGAAAAGTTACGCAGTCATATGAAGTGCCTTCATGAAATAAATATTCATCCTAAAGTGGTTCCTTCATTCAGCTGCCAGAAATGTCAATTTTCCTTTTTCACTGAGCAAGGATTGGAAAGACATTTGGTTGGTTCTCATGGTCTAGTCACGGCAGGTTTGCAGGAAGCTGCAGATAAAGGGAAAGACGGAGGTCGCTGCCCTATTTGTGGTTGGGGATATCAAAATAAATTATTAGATCATGTGGCTACAGAACATAAAGTGTGTTTAAAACCAGCTGATCTGACATACAAGTGTACTATTTGCACTGCCACATTTGGAGTTTATAAACGATTTGAAGATCACGTGTACTCTGTTCATCGTCCACCAATTTCAAAGCTTACTGAAGGAAATTCTAAAAGTTCGTCCCGTGGAATTAAATGATTTTTTTTTTCTTTTCCAAATAGTGTGCAGGTTATTTGTGATACAACAAACATTCCTGGTTTTAGTTAACCTATGGCTGTGACAAAACAATAATAAAGGCAGTTCATGTCTTTTACCCACTGGTCACACAAGTCATAACCAAAGAAAAGGTTTAAAATTACTTATCTGTCCATCTGTTTTGAAATATCTATTCTTTTTCATGTTCGTTTATAACGTACTATTGATGTCTGAGATTCTCGATAAATGCATTTGATTCTTTCACTGCATTGTTTTTAATAGAATTGCCTTTAAATATAGTATTGAGAACATATACACATACAAAGTTGTGACATGTGTTTGTTTAAAAAACTCGTTTTTAATAGACCAAAGAAGTTAATGTTTGAATGGAGTATTACAATCATGATTGTTGCGGAGAATGTGTCACTTGTGATACAGCTTCCAAAAATGCTTTTCTAAAAAGTTTGCGTGTAACGTAAATGGTATGAAAGTATTGTTTGTGATTTACCTGTAATTCACATAGTTCAATATACTTCTAAAATGTTCTAGATTATGTGTGTTATTGTTTGTGAAATCTTTATTGATTATGTGCTGTATTATCCTTTTTTAATTTTTTTATATGATTATCTGTTCAAGGAATCAGAAGAGTTGTAGTTTGCAAAAATGTTACTACGCTTTTTTGAGTGGCATGCTTTCTCTCATTTATTAGTGTTCAATTGATGTGCAACAAAATTCATTTTATCATAATTTTATATCGACATTCAGGTATTTAAGAGGAGACTTGGGCCCAAGTTTCTTAATGGGGATTGTATTACGTAAACCTTCAGTTAACAGGTAGTGACATTCGAGTCAATTTAAGCAAGTTGATGGAATTCATAGTACAAATAAAAAGAAAGTGATGGTGGTATATTAGAGTAACTTTACAGTAATTAATTTAATAGAATAGATTTTTTTTTTTGAAGTTTCATTACAGAAATAAAAAGTAAATCAATGCTGAATTTATTTTTTTGCTCTTGGAATCTCTCAATAATGTCTGAATTAATATTTTCTTTGAAATGATTTTCTAGTTAGCTTTGCAAGAAACAATTTAGATTATGAAATTTGAGGGAAATTACATATCAAAGTATAATATGTCAAATTGAGAGGAAAAACATGATGAAAGGAAAATGACCAAGTGGCATTGTGTTATTTTACAAATACACAATAAATTATGAAGAGGTTCGGCATAATAAAACTTGTTTTTAAAAGATGAGAATTCAAGTTCATTGTTGAAAACTGAACTGCTGGAGTATTGTTGTTGATCTTTGTTTTCAAGTTGGCAGTGTCGGTCATATTTGTATCCCTGATGTTTTATGTGCCATTAATAAAATAATTTGTGTAATTTCATCTTTTGGAGTTAGTGAAGCAAAAAACTTCATTTGCTGAAACAGTGATCTTTATATTTTTTACCAGTTACTGGAGATGATTATTTTAATACATGTGACAACAGAACAGTTATTATAGTTTCTTCTTATAAGGCTCTACAACCTTCAAATGAATGTCTTGGCCTGCTCAACTATCCTTTTCTATTTTTTCCTATACTTTTATTATATTTTAAAAGACTGTTATTAAATTGAATTATATGTGGCTAAAGTTGTTTCATTCCGAAACGTGTTGTTAGATATATACTTTATTTTGCAGTACTGTTGGGCATTGCAGTGTGATTTGTGGTGCTGTAGAAAGATTTTTAATAGAGTAAAAGTTTTTCTCAATTTTTAATTTTATTTATTTTTCAGATGAGATTCATCACGGATTTTGTAAATTATATTGTGAGTAGTACAAAAATATGTTGTTGGTGTTGGAAAAGAATTATTGCTGTGAAAGAAGTTAATTGATATGTGACACCAAGATGTTTTCATTTGGTGCAAGGTTTGAGTTCAATAGATGAATTTGTATTTCCTGATGTGGTAGGAATTAAATAAGGCTACTTTTTAGCTATGAACAATCATGTGGTGTATGAAATATTATGAATTTTATAATGAAGATGATGTTTAAATGATGATGGTGAGCAAGTGTCTTTATTCTAAAATCATGAGACGGAGGTCAATAATATATTTTTTTTGGAATTGCCGTATTGTTAATTCACCTTTGCATTTCATACAGTTAAGGTATGATTAAAGTACAATTCTAATAATTTTTTTGCTCTTTAATAAGTACACAACTCGTTTTTGGTTAAAGTGAACATTGCTAGTTTTGCAGGCACAGTGACGATCAAAATGTAATTGCTCTTCTGAAACTAGTCCTAGTCAACGTAGAGCAAGAAACAGTCCAAAAAAAAATTACTTCTTCATGAGCTACCTTCTGACGATTTATTGTCTTCGATGGCCAATTTACGATGAATATTTCGGAATGTTGTAAAATGCACTTTTGCATCGGTCGATTTCATTACATGTGAAAAAATTATTAGTTAGACTGATCTTTAATGATTGGTATGTGAACTAATTCCGAGATTGTTATCATCAATAATAGCATTTCTACAAAATGCTATTATAATTGAATACATATGCACAGCTATAAAATGGAGCCAAAAAGTTGTGAATGCCAATTTTTAATTTCCTTTGTGTTATTTCTGTTTCATAAGAATTAATTTTCCTCATAGGAGAAGCATAAAGATTTAAAATCTATTTTTGGTCTGCAGATTTGACATTTTGCACATGTGATATAATTGTTTTCTTCACATTAATGAAATGAAACATTGTATGAATTGCTCAAAGTAATTCTTGTACAAATGGTATGTTAGAAACATATTAGTTGTATAAGAGTTTGTTTGAAATGAAATGAACTTAAATTTTGGCATTATGAAGTTACCAGAAATTAACCTGGATGAGCTTACAGAACTACTGTGTATTTCAAATTGAATTCTTCAGCATTATTTAAATTTTTTTACTGAAGAAACACCAAGTAACAAAGTGTGCAATTAGTGTTTTCTTGGGTAGTGTTTATATTCTTCCCTTGTTAGTCTCATAAATAAAGGATTTATTCTTCTAATTCTGTATCTGAATTTATTGAAAATGAGCTGTTATTTATGTACAGAAATAAAAAGTGTTAGACTAGAATTTCATTGATCCTTTTTATTGACCTTTATTTCATAATAAATAAACAATACATATGGAAGTCTTAGGCTTCCGCAGCTGTAGTCATGTAAATGATCCTAGTACGCTGCATTGAAGGCTGTGTTGTTGGTGTTTCAACCATCATATCGTGATCTTCCTCGGAGCTGGTCTGAGGAAGACCATGATACAATGGTCAAAACGTCGGCATCACAGCCTTCGAGGCAGCGTCACACGGACACCCAAGATCATTCAGTAATACATAATACCTAGCACTTGCAGTTTTTAAATCTCCTATAGATGTTGTGTATTTATAATAAATTTAAAATAATGAAAAATTTTACTTGTTCCTTTTTTCAGTAGAGGTAAGGGAGGTGCCAACTAACAATGTGATTATCACAAACTCCGAATACATTAGGAAAGTTAAAGATCATTTTAGTAACAATAAATATAAGAACTTAAAAAATAGATTACACAGATCATGAAATTAAATAGTTACAAGAAACTATTAAAAGATGTAAATATGTGAATAAAGAAACGTAGTTGTGTATTTATATCTCAAGAAGGTAAGAAAGAGCATGTGTGCCAATGAAAGTACTAAAATCAGACCTTCCTATGCGACCTATTGTGCTGGCTATTGGCACTTTTGTCTATCAGACACACAAATATCTTCATAATATCATAAAATTGTTATTAAACGGTGATTACAAATATTCCATATAAAAAGCTTGCTTTAAACTATTCCTAAAAACCCACCACAGATATGCATATATTAGTTTTACTTGATATTGTTGCCATAATTTCCTCCTTTCCATGTGATCTTATTTTACTAGGATTAGAGACATTCATGGATAAAAAAGGTTTTAAATAATGTATTTGAATGCAATATAATGATAATTACAAGATTTATTCTTAATAACATTACCTTTAAGTTCAATAATTAAAAATATCTACAGACAGGACTCCTATTGTTGGTGAACTCTGCAGTTTATTTTCAGAAATAATAATCAGACAACTGGAAAAATGATATTCAACAAAATTAACTTGGGGTTCGCATATAAATTTCGTAATGCTAATTTTGAGTATTTTCAATATTATCTTTCTCCGCTGTAACTCACTCATGCTTAACCCGCAACCCCCCTTCTCCTAAATAATTATGTAACACTCGTGCCCCCTCATCATTTACAAGAAGTAGAAAGAAATTATATTACAGTAAGAACAATTTGTGTTATATGTTAAAATTTGTGACAATTCAAATTGGAATTAGTTGACTTCACTTAACAATAAGATTGGGCATAAATTTTGAGTGAAGGAAGAACTCGTAGATGGGAAAATGTTTCACAACAAAGCTGTTTACACCACCTAATGGATATCGCATAGGGGAGTCTACTATGCCAATTTAATTGGATTCTAAAATACAGATCTGTTTTGAATATTTTCTTTATAATCTTACAAAATGATTTAAAAAATTAATAAATATTTCCATTTATTTTAACAATTTATACATAATAACTTTAATTTATTTAATTTTAGAAAAATAATTAGTTAATATTTTAATGTTTTAGTATAAGAGGGGGAGAAAAAGGAATTATTTCATCAAATTTTGACAAAAATTAGTGTTACATAACATTAAGCTAACACTCTCTACCTCTATGTAACACAGTGTAATGGTGCCTCAAACCTCCTCCCCCCGGTTTGGCGTTATGAAGTTTATGGAAAACCCTTATTGTTTTATTGGAAATATATGGATGATGCACTGCTTAACACACATGGACAAAAAATTACTAATGTTTGTTAACTATTTATTGATTATAATCCCAGTATTAAATTTACCTCAGATATAAAAGAAAATAATAAAATAAAGTTTTTGGATAATACAATTGAAAGAAAGATTGATATTGGAGAAACCACCTG